GTAGAATTCAGTCTCGTTGCTATTTCAACTAACGCTTTCGTGAACGACAACGAATAAATGCAATATGGGCAGGGGAAAACAGAGGGCAAACTTACCAAAAAGCCACGAACTGGCTCTGCTTTAAGGCAAGGCGAAGTGAAGACTCTTCAACACAGCGCTTACACCATGTAGTGGTTTTGTGTCAATCTTTACATTCGATGACGTCCTGCCCCTCGGCAGATAGCTGTTCCATTTGCGGTTTGTATTTTTGGTGATTTCGGTGAAATAGCCTTCACTTCACGCCTTAAGCAGGCTCGACGATTCGCCACAACATCGAAATGTAATGCTAAGCAATCTAATGTTCATCTAGAGCGTCTGATGGTCTGCAAAGGTATTCGACGTAACGCTACACCATTTGTGTGTACGCCGTATCATTCGACACTACGCTGAGCCATTTCACGCAACGCTACACTGTTTGAATGTATGCTGTGCTATTCGACATTACGCTGAGCCATCTCACCGTTGGTGTGAACGTTGTGCGATTCGACATTACGCTGAGCCATTTCACGCAACGCTACACCGTTTGTATGTACGCTGTGCCATTCGACATTACCGTCAGTCATTCACGCAACGCTATACGCAACGCTATGCTATCCTGCAGCTGATCCATAGACCAGCTTTGTATTTACTGACCTATTTGACATCCTTGTTTTTTTTTTTGTGGTAAAGGCCGCCCATATCGCCGAGGTATGAATTGAAAATCAGCTGAAATATGAGCTACAGCCCACGGCATTGTGGGAAATATGAATAAATTCAGGCTTCTGTCATCTTGTTAGGGGACGAATTACTCGGCCTACGAAGAGTCTGATTGTTTTGCTGGAACCTCGGACGATATTGCTACTAATCATACAAACCCAAGTTTAGATAGTGAGGAGACAATCTATTTCGGATGAGCTTTCTGTTACAAACGAAAGGTCAAGTAAAACGATCGTGATACACGCATATCGTGACTCACTTAAATCGCGACATGGCGCAATTTAATCTTTGTTTCCGGGTAGCGTTTCTCGCTGTACTTCTTCCACTGGCTTCAGGTGAGCACCATATCATTTTAAATCTATTATAAAGGTTTATTTTATTTTACAGTATACGTTTAGGGTGTTTGGTTGGAGATTTCTTTCAGTTATGAGTGCTGTAGCCTTAGGCTTTCTCTCACGGTCGCCGTGAATCCTTGATGCGGACAGCATCGTCTTTTTTTTTAATTAATGTTATCTTAAAAAGAATGGTACAGTTAAAAATCTATTTGTTATTACATCAGGCTCAATTTTGAAGTATGGAGAATTATACGAAAGTGAAATTAAACTGTGAATTATTTATCAATCAGAAATACAGAGTGACGATTCTAAAACTATTGTGTTTCAACGAAGAAATCAGGTGGTAACTTCCGCTTCAATTTCAGGTTAAAGCACTTGGGAATTTATTCCGCCTTTTCTATCTATTGAAAAGCTTTAAATTTGGTTTAGTCTGCACATTTTTACCTTGAGCCCCCAAAATTATACATTTCCACTGAAAATCAACTTCTCTTTGCTCCAAGAAAGGGTCAATGACCCAGGTTTCTCAAATTCGCTGCAGCAATTTATTTTCCTTTATTTATATCTTGCTGTAATGCCTTTGATGCAGCGCAACAGTTTTTGGAACCTTAAATCTTTCCTCATTTTCTTTAAAAATAAACACCTCAATAAATTGATAAATATCTTCAGAGGCAGACCAGCTCTAATTGTTACTATTTGTGACACGGACTTTGCATGAGACATACCTTATAGGGAGATTCAAGACATGCATATGTTTCTCACATCCAATCATTATCCATGTTACTATAATCATTAAAACAGTGTTATAATGCAGGAGTAAATTCTGTTTCTGTAGGGGGTTGTGTTGATTTTGACCTTGGAATGGAAAATGGAGCAATTCCTGACAATAAATTAACTGCTTCTACTGAACAAAGTGCCAACACACCTGCCAAGAATAGTCGCCTAAACTACACATCAGGATCATCATGGTGTGCAGCAACAAGTGACACTAACCCATATCTACAGATTGATCTACAGATACTTCATATCATCTGTGCTGTGTCCACTCAAGGGAATTCTCAAGCAGATCAGTGGGTAAAGACCTATACTCTACAATTATCCACAGATGGGACAACTTGGACAAACTATAAGGAATTAGTTGGACAGGTTAAGGTATGCCACATGGGCTGTTTGAGAATTATACTATATGTTGCCCCAATCACCGTCCCTGAGTTTTGATAATATTGACGCATTTAAAACAAATTGGCCGCCAAAAGAGTTACAGGTATATGCAGAGGATTATTTGTACAATAAAAATTCAACAAGTATTCTCCTCATGCCCAGCAAATATCATGAATTTTGAGTAAATTTTTTTTCATTCAGCAAATAATATTTTGCATGCCTAAATTTGCAGTCAAGGTTGCGGAAAGAGTACCAGGGAGAAATGGACAGGGAATCTAACAAATTGTTTTAAACAACGTTTTCCACAAAATATTTTCGGTGTGAAGTAGCTCGTCAAATGCGTGCAGAACAAATGGTTTCTAATTACTGAGAGATTGCTGCTCTCTATCCCACAAGTGATAAAATAACTGTCACAGGTAAACTGCAGTCGCAGAAATTAGATAGGGTTCACCTTTGAGGGTCAGTGTGCTATTTCTTATAATCCAGTTGTCAAATTATGATTTATTCATGTATGCTTAGTAACCCTGTCCATGTGGACCTCTTCCATAAATGTTGGGCCTTATTCCTACACCTACATTTATATTTTTCTTGTTTTTCGTGTCCTAAAACAAGAGGTAAAGTAATGATGATTACTTTAACCAAGGTCAAGAGTTACAATAGTTACATTATACAATCCACCTGGAACTCCATGATGAGTTATGATTATTTTCCCAAGGTTTTAGAGGGAAATAAGGATAGAAACTCAAATGTCAAACATGTTCTATATGGAGTGTTAACAAGATATTTGCGATTTCTGCCACAAACACACCAGGGTGAGGTGTGCATGAGAACAGAGGTGTTTGGGGTGCAGCAGAAGCCAAGTAAGTCTAAAAACCATTATGTAATGGGTTACTTGCATTTGTTAATCTATGAACAAAGATTCCAAACCTAGTGGTTTTGTTATTTTCTTAATGATTGTTATTTGGATAAGTAGCTTTATGATAGAAACCACTCTGTGAGCGCTCGAGGAAAACAATACAGCCATTGTGATAAGTCTCTTATTCTTATCAATTAATTAAGCAATTCCAGGTGACAGGATGCTCCAATTTCTGCTTCATATACATAGGTGGATAGTTTTATTGTCAGTGCCTGTAGGGTTATGAGCTGAGGATAGGAAGAAAAATTCCAAATTACCACAAACTTTCCTAGATAATATTATTACAGGGATTCATGGAGTTCCTTAAGGTCAGAAAAGTTAGGGGTCGATTCTGGGCAATCACGTTATTGGAGCAGCACAGCCCATCATTCCATGAAAGCTGTTTCCAGCATTCCTTTGGTTATTTTGCCAACAGCTATGGCTTCATTTTTCCATTGCTATTTTTCTCTGACTTTTTCCATGACTATTTTTTCTATATTTTGGAATAATATCCTACAGATGTTTAGAAGTGTATTCAATTAATTACACTGAACAACATACATGTAATATGGTAAGATGTGAAGGTTAACTTAAAAATTGTTACATTGCAGCATGTGATTCACAGGCAATTGGCTTGGCCAGCGGTGGTAGAATTCCAGATGACAGCTTCTCAGCCAGTTCAATATTTGCTCCCAGATATGCAGCTAAATATGGTCGTCTTAATGGAAGAGGGGCATGGGAACCTAAGACTAATACTGATCCTGATGACTATCTACAAATTGACCTTCTCTATGAGTATGTTATCTGTGCTGTAGCTACTCAAGGAAATCCACCAACCCAATCACCAACTGCTCAAGAATGGACCACAGAGTACAAACTAAGATTTTCTTTGAATGGTACCACTTTTTTCCCCTATAAAGAAAATAAGACTGACAAGGTTGGTATGTCATGCTCCCGTATTCACAACAGCCAAAATTAGTAGTTGCATTACAAAACTGAAACTACTCACAAGAACAACAAATTTGCATACACATATTAACAACATTTACAAATTCTAACATATCCACGAGATACTTAAATTACTTAAAAAACATATTGACATTGCTTTCAAGAACTGAACTGTAGGATGTATGCACTTAACCTACAGGTAGCAGATTTTCATTCTGCACATGACAGATTCTCATTTTGTGTTCTTTTTGCAAGTTCCCAATTTTCATTTTGCAAATTACAAATTTTTGTCTTGAAAATTCGAGCTACAGATTTAAATTTGATATTATTTCGCAAATTATAGTAAATCATTAACTATGTCAAGTTTCAATACATCAATACCACTTTTTGTATAACAGGCCTTTCCAGGAAATTCAGGAAAAACTGACACAGTGAAAAACAGTCTAGAGGAATTTGCAAGTGCAAAGTTTATACGCTTTCTGCCAACAAAGTATACTAAGTTCAAAGTTCTGAGGGTGGAGGCTTATGGAATACTTTTGACTAAAGGTATTTATTTGTTCTCATTTTTCTCCTTCTGATACAAACTGAAGTCACGATAACTAATTAATGGGGAAATTAAGGTGAGATTGGACAATTTACAGAACAGTAATGATGGTAGTTATACAAAAATATAAATGGCTCCCACAGCTGGCTCTTGGATATGAAAGATACAGTTTAAGTTTGTTACATACGTGGAGAACCAGACAATTCAGTGTACAATACGTTGCCAGACATGATTGGCAATGAAGTTCCACACTGTTAAATGAATTGTTGTCTGCAGAAAAGTTGGATAGCTTTGTAAAATTCAGATATCATTGATAAATTTCACATCAATTATCATCTGTGCATGGAGACATGCTTTGTACATCTCTATAATATGTTTATTTCAGTTCCATCACAACCTCCTACTGTGTTCAAGTTGACTGCAAGCTCTTCTACCAGCATTACAGCTTCCTGGCAATTACCACCAGTCTTTGCCAGACATGGAAGAAACATTACAGGTTTTAAACTGTTCTACAAAAAGAAAGGTTGTGGTGGGTCAGCAACAACATTGACAATTAGCAGTGGATCAATATTAAGTAGAAATGTCACTGAGCTTGATAAGTTCACAGAATATGAATTTCAAGTTTTGGCTTTCACTTCTAATGGTGATGGACCAAAGGGCCCTGTTGAGGTGGAGAGAACAAAGGAAGCTGGTATGTGATAGGTGGAGGTAAAAGACAAAAGATTATCACAATTTTTGATGAAGTAAATTTTATTAGGCCTGCAAGGAGTGAAATGATCCTTCCATATGGGTTGCAATTGTAAGCAATTGCAGACAGATTCAGGCTTCGATGGGATTTGAACCCATACCTCTCAGGTACTAGATGGGTACTACTACCAACTGAACTATATAGTCTCACGTTGGAAGGCAGACAATAGCTAGAGGGTCTATTGTTTGGTAGTAACATTTAACAGGATCAGTTATAGGCATTAAGTTCTACATTTTTCCATTTGCAGCCCCATCAAAAGCCCCAAGAAGCTTCAGAGTGACTGCAGTTACTTCTACAATTATTACAGCATCCTGGCAGTTACCACCAGCAGACTCCAGAAATGGAATAATCATAGGATTCAAATTGTTTTACAAAAAGAGAGGCTCTGCTAGACAAGCAACCCCCCTGACCATTAAAAATGGAACAGCATCAAGTAAAGATGTCACTGGGCTTGATATTTACACAGAATATGAATTTGAAGTGTTAGCCTTTACTTCGGTCGGTGATGGACCAAGGAGTTCTCCTTTAGTGGTGGTGAGAACCATGAGAGATGGTAAGACTTTAAAACGATGTTCAAGTATTTTTTGAAATGGGTCTGCATGGTGTAGCAACAGCGAAAAAAGTTATGAGTTGATCTTTGAATGAGAAAGCATATTATAACAGAACTTTAATGTTTTATTTTATGATTTGAACTTTTCCAGTTTATATAAGTACATTTGCAGTAACCAGAGTGGCTCTTTTGTGGTTTGTAATATTCAGTGTGTTGTAGTATAGTTATACGTGTTTGGAAAAGACAAGTGCTAGCGATATCTAGGGGCCACCATTGTGCCTAGGCAGGCCTCAGATAAAATGTGGCCCCCATAGCGGTCAAATCCTTAGTAAACAGCCATGCACCCCCGTTCTAGGCCAGGGTCTTTCTTAGCTCAGCTGACCATAACACTGTGTGTAGGTCACGTGGAGCAATGAATGGCCCTGAACTCTTCATGATACCAAGGCACCCTTGTTTGAAGACAAAAATTTGGTGACTGCTTATAAAAGCTTTAGGACAACTTCACAGTGCTGATAAACTCTTTCAGACAAGTACATCATTGTACCTGAAAACTTGTTTGGGAACATTCAAAGATAAGTGCTAAACACTAAAAATGCATTCATGAATACTAAATTAGGTAGTTCGTAATACCTCAAGACAACCAGCACAAAAGGTCTGAGGAACAAAAGAGGATAAACACAACAAAATTGAATGGTTGAAAACAACTGAATTAGTAAGGCCAAGGGAAACTTAAAACCAAGCATTATAGAGGAACCTAGGACTGCCGACAAATGGGTGCTACTAAACTTATGATGTTCTTTATGAAAGGAAAACTGTTGAATATACGAGTCAGCCAAATTGTGGCCATCCACTTTTTTGAATCATCATTTACCTAAATTGTGAAAGAGTTGCAGAGACAAAATTATTAGATGCATACGTTGAGAGCTCTAACCTTTGTAGTGTTCATTACTGATTATTTTTCCTTGTCATTTGTGATCAAATAGTTTTTCAACTTTTAGGTTGTGTTGAGTTTAGTCTTGGGATGGAAGATGGAAGAATTCTAGAGACTGGAATAAATGCTTCGTCTTCCAGCACACCAGCCACGAATGGTCGACTGAACTACGCATCAGGATCATCGTGGTGTGCAGGAACAAGTGACACTAACCCATACCTACAGATTGATCTACTAACACTTCATATCATCTGTGCTGTGTCTACTCAAGGGAATTCTCAAGCAGATCAGTGGGTGAAGAACTACACTCTACAATTATCCACGGATGGGATAAGTTGGAAAAACTATACGGAATTAGGTGGACAGGTTAAGGTGTAAAATTCATTCTGTATTGAAGCATTGTTTCTGAAATAACTGAGATTTAATATGCATTGACTTTTACATCTGTATCAAATCCCCCTAACTATGTCGGTTAAGATAAGATCATACGTTTCCATAATTGCCATCTGGTGAACCTCAAATTATCAATATGTCCATTACTGGATTTCTCCTCGTTTAAGAAGCAAATGTAAGAGAAGAATCACTGATGTTATTTGAATGAATAATTGCGCTTAAATTGAAAATGCATAGTATCCTCTGTAAGCATAACAAATACAGTGACTTCAGCTGAGCCTTCAGCAAATGATTTTGAAGAGCTGTGAGATGGCTGCTGATTAGCATTAAGAATTTATTTGCACTGCTGGCTAACACTTCTTTTTCACAGGTGGCAAATCGAATGCCATTATTTGTAAAAGAAATTGAGTATTGCTACCCCTCAATTATCTGCTTGATGAAAATGGGAAGAATGGATTGTCGCTCAAAATTAACGAGGGCGCTTCGTTACTTGTGGTGACCACGTCTAAACAGCTCAAAGATGTTTCCTGCCACATCTTTATTTTCATCCTTATCATGCATTTTTCAAGGTTTAACTCTTGGCCCTTCAGAGCTCTAGCGTCTTATTTCTGGAAACAATAAAGGAAATACTCACAAGCTCTAAGTCATGTAGCACCCTAGGAAATTTACAGAGAACAGTTTGAGGAATGTATCTGCGGATGTTAGGGTGTAAGGGGTTGAGAAGGCAATGAAGGTAGAAACTCAAATGCTATAAGCAGTGTGGATATCAATATCCCTGCTGTTTTCTTGTGACTATTGTTTTTCTTCTTTTAAGGTTCTCATGGGAAATGATGACAAAAACTCAGAAGTAAAGCATGTTGTTTATGGAGTGTTGACTAGATATCTGCGATTCCGGCCACAAACTCACCAGGGTGGGGTGTGCATGAGAACAGAGGTGTTTGGGGTGAAACAAAAGCCAAGTGAGTTTGAAATTTGATGTTTCGTAATTGCTGTGATCTGCCACTCTAATGGACATTCTAAGATACTCTCTTAATCTTTAAAGAAGGATTTCAAACCTAATACATCTGTAGTTATGTTCTTTTAATGCGATACTCTAAGTTTTCCCGATACAGTTAGTGGCTAAAATGATACAAACTACATTGTATATAAATTATAGCCTAATGATACTGTTTATACAGTCATCAAAAACACCAAGCCTCTCATTATAACTTGTAAGGCTCTGTTCTTTTGAAATGTACATAGGATCAATTGTAGTTTTTTTGATGTGAAACTCAAATTATTGGGATAAATACCAATGAAGTTGAAGTGATATTTGATCTTCAAATGCTGTAGGAGTCAGCTAATTAATTTATCATTTCAATCAATAAGAAACCATAGAATCGTTTGTCTCATTATGTAGTCACTTGAGATGTAGATCGTGACAATTGAACTGCTTACTGCTAGTCTACATCAGGCAAAGGAGTTGACTGCTCATGCTTTGCCACTTGTACCATGGCTCCCCATAGTTCTGATGAGTACTGGTTTCCCAAAATCTTCCCCAAGCAGAGAGCCTGTAACGTAGTTCAAATTCGCAGTGGTTTTACCCTATGTAAAAGGTGTATCAGTGTATCTTTGCCGTTGCCTATAACAGCATCCACACAGTCTTCAAGTCCGACACAGCTTTTTGATCGCATTAACAGTATATTTCCTGACAGATTGCAGCATTCATTGGGTTGTTTTGCAAAGGCTTCATTTTCTCGTATTCTTCTATAACTCTTTTTCTGTACATTCGGTAATGATATCCTACACATGGTTTAGGAGTGTCTACAATCAAATGTATTGAAAAACATACATGAAATACGCATAGATATGAAGGTAATCATCTAATTGTTACCTTGCAGCATGTGATTCCCAGGCAATTGGGTTGGCCAGCGGTGGTAGAATTCCAGATGACAGCTTTTCGGCCAGTTCAATATTTGCTCCCAGATATGCAGCTAAATATGGTCGTCTTAATGGAACAGGGGCATGGGAAGCTAAGACTAACGATCGTGATGACTACCTACAAATTGACCTTCTCTATGACTATGTTATCTGTGCTGTAGCTACTCAAGGAAATCCACCAAACCAATCGCCAGCCCAAGAGTGGACCAAAGAGTACAAACTACGATTTTCTTTCGATGGTACCACTTTTTTCCCCTATAAAGAAAATAAAACTGACAAGGTCGGTATGTCATGCTCTTGTATACAAGTATTCATAGCAGCCAAAATCAATACTTGTGGTGTAAAACTAAAGCTACTCACAAGAACAACAAATTTGCTTTTATATGTCATAATAATTTTCACCATGCTAACATTGCCCACAAGATACTTATGTTGCTTACAAAACAAAATGACGTGACATTACATTCAACAATAATTAGTTACATTTTCTAATCAATTACATGTCCATGTAAGGATCAGTATAGAGTACACACACCCAAAAGCATGTAGACTATATTCATAGGAGTATGAGTGTAAAAGATGTAAAAAAAAACTGATATATTCAAACTGTTCAATCGTACTTTCTAAAACAATTACCACAAAATTTAAATATGGAGAATGAAATGGTCCTGATCTCCCTGAAAGTCATTTTCTAACCTGTGGCATTCCTCAAGGCACAATTCCTGGTCCTCTTCAAATGACTTGCTGAATTATCTCAAGCTCTTTAGTTCTGAACCTAGGATGTATGAAGATGATGTGTGCTTAACTTATACAGATAGCAGATTTCCATTCTGCATATTACAGATTCTCATGATGTGTTATTTTTCCAAGTTACAGATTTTCATTTTACAAATTACAGATTTTCAGTTGGCAAATTGCAGATTTAAATTTGATCTCATTTCCCAAATTACAGTAAACCATTAACTATGCTAAGTTTCAATACATCAATATCACTTTTTGTATAACAGTCCTTTCCAGGAAATTTAGGAAAAACTGACACAGTGAAAAACAGTCTGAAGGAGTTTGCAAGTGCAAAGTTTATACGCTTTCTGCCAACAAAGTATAATAAGTTCAAGGTTTTGAGAGTGGAGGCTTATGGCATACTTTTGACTAAAGGTATTTATTTGTTCTCGTTTTGTACCTCTGATACAAAATGAAGTCACAATAAGCAAATATTGGGGAAATTAAGGCAGGATCGGGCAATTTACATTTACGAGGGCGTTGTTATTGACGAATATCAAAAGTAAATGTCGGAGATGGCTGTGAAATGCCTATTAATAAAGTTGTAATGCCTAAATCATAAGGAACATCATGGAGAAAATAGGGTTAATGGAAAAACAAAGTCACCACCTCTGATGATCCTCCATACTACTCTTAATCAATGTAGACTGCCCATTAGGTTTACCATGGCTGATAATGATATGTTCCTCTTTAAACTTCTCATTGATTATCATCTATCGATTCAAACATAAATCTCTTGTTGTTAATACAGTTCCATCACAACCTCCCACTGCCTTCCAGTTGACTGCAAACTCTTCTACCAGCATCATAGCTTACTGGCAGTTACCACCAGTCTCTGCTAGACATGGAAACATTATAGGGTTTAGATTGTTTTACAAAAGGAAAGGTTCTGGTGGGTCAGCAACAACCTTGTCTATTAGCGATGGAGCAACATTTAGTAGAACTGTTCGTGGGCTTGATAAGTACACAGAATATATATTTCAAGTTTTGGCCTTCACTTCTGATGGCAATGGAGCAAAAAGTTCTGCAAAAGTGAAAAGAACAATGGAAGATGGTATGTGCTAATGAAGAAAACTGTGAACCATATGTATTGAATTTACATCCTCATTGGGGGTTTATTGGATACCAATCTCATGATGAGGAGGCTAACCAATTGAATAGTTTAGAACCAATTGATTTCTTTAATTACTAAAACACAACAAAACTTGTATTCATGTACCAAGTTAAGATGTGAAGAAGTTTTCAAAACTTTTACAGCTGATAAAACTAATTAAAAACACTACTGCTCAATTGCAGCTCCTTCACAACCTCCATCTAATTTCAATGTCACTCCAACTGTCTCTACTGGTGTAACAGCATCATGGCAACTACCACCAGCAAACTCCAGGAATGGAATAGTTAAAGGATTCAAATTGTTTTACAAAAGGAAAGACTCGTCAGGCTCAGGCGCCATTCTTCTTATCAACAGTGAATCAACTTTAAACAAAAATATCAATGGGCTTTATAAGTACACAGAGTATGAATTTCAAGTGTTGGCCTTTACTTCTGCTGGTGATGGTGTAAACAGCTCTGTTGTTGTTAAGAGAACAAAAGAAGATGGTTAGAGCAACTTTTTGTTTTATATTCTAAAAATGTCATGACTTTTTAATAAAAGGTCAGATACAGTTACCCTTCGTATACAGTTTTCTGATGTGATGTGAAAAATGAAAATATTTAATTATGCAATATGCGATTTTAATAACCATGATTTAACACACCGTTATATCAGTGACTCATGAGTGGTAAAGTAATTATTAGAAGATAACGAACATAATGTAAGCATTCTGATTGGCCCTTAAATCATGTCTATTTACTCATGAAATTATAAGCACGCAATAACATATTAGCAATAATGTTGGCTGTTGTTATTGGTTGCCTTCTTTCTTGATTTAGACCTCAATGGTGTACCCTTTGCGTTGCAAATTTATAATAATTTTTGGATTTGAGTCTGCCTTTTTTTTCCCTTTCATTTGTCCCTGAGTGGCAAAAACAAACAAATACCAATACAGCTACGGCACTGATATTCTGAGTCAAATTTGTGTTCCTCACTGGAAGAGGCATCCTACAAATAGAAGCAAACATAGAATTAGATTCTTTATGTTTATCTTAAGACCACTTGCGAATATGGCATATTTTCAACATATATCACATGCCTAATAATATGCATGCAACAATTTCAGCATCCTAATTGGTTGAGAACACGTCAATTTATCTCGAACAGTGCAGAGAGTTGAAATTAAGAGAAAAAAGTTGAAATTAAATTGATTTACAGGATTTTGGCTCATGGCGGCCGGTTGGCAGAAAGTAACAACGTTTTAATTTAAAGTTTGAAGGAGAGCGCTCGAAAATGAAAAACCCAACAAGCACAAACAGATGGCTAGGAGTCTGGAAGACTTGGCTTCCCAAAATGGCTATGACAGAATTATTGAAACATACGAACTCGAAGCCCAGAACAAAAATCTCAAGGAGTTTGTGTAACAGTTCGTAGTAAAGACGGAGAGATTATAAGAGTGATAACCTTTGTGTACTGGTTGCTGCTCTTAAGTTATTATCTGATTAAAAATAATAAGATGACAATCATAATGACTCTTTTTATCGCTATGATTATTTCCATTTCTTATATAATCATGTGAAACTTCTTAATTGCAGTTCCTTCAATGCCGCCTAGTAGCTTTATTCTGGCTGCAAGCACTTCTACAAGTATAATAGCATCCTGGCAGTTACCACCAGAAGACTCCAGAAACGGAATCATCACAGGATATAAATTGTTCTACAAAAAGAAAGGCTCGTTAGGGCCAGCAAGCATGCAGCCCATTAACGGTCAGGCTACTCACTCTCAAGAGGTCACTGGGCTTGATAAGTACACAGAATATGAATTTCAAATATTGGCATCCACTTCTGTTGGGGATGGACCAAAAAGTACAGTTGTTTATGAGAAAACAAAGGAGGCTGGTAAGAAATAGTAATCTATCTATTTTTATAAAATTCAGAAGTTTATGGATGCCATAAATGTCTCAATAGAATGGTATTCAACCATAAAGAAGAGATCAAACAGTCTTTGGAAAACTTGTTCAATGTGTTTGTTTGCCTTATCTTTGATGTGATAGATCTTAACACAATCTAGATTCCCAACATGTAATTTTAGAAATACACCTGTTCCTGTGCATGCATTAAATGTCCAATTTCAAGAAGGCTCTGGTGAGAGGGCCATTTAATTGGGGTGTTGTCACTGTTAAAAGTGATAAGTAGGGAAAATACATGTAATGTCACAGTGAACTTGAAATGTGTCCATCTTGTGGCAATCAGATTTCTCATTGTCCTACCTACATGTAGCATACGTTGTTAAAAAATGCCATGTTGCATTTTTCTCTTACCGGAAGGTTCCAGCTTTTCTTGTCACAGGGATCCAAGTTCAATTTTTCGAAAAGTCGCCTTTTGGCGACCTTTAACTTTAAAATAGTCGCCATACAAAAATTTGATCACCTTTTCCCCCCTTCCCCCGCTTAAAAAAATTTTAGTGGTCCACTACTGTACGTGAGGTAGGTAGTGAGCCAAATGATGCGATCGTAACACTTTCATTCGCCAACTCTACTTGGTACGTTTGATCCCGTGCAGATTAGAAGATTGTAATAACGGCCAAAAAAGAGAGAATGAAGAGACTCTGATGTCTGGGAGCAGAACGATTTACCGAAAAGTTTCTGAGACCGAGTAACAAAATATTAATCGTGTTTTTAAAATAAGATTTCATTCTACTTATTACTTAGTTGAGAAATGTCTCTTATTTAGAGTGAAATGAAATATTTTGTTAGAACCTTCCATCCATATTGTAAGTAACATCTTGAATCACTTGATATGAGTCGCCATACTTCTTAATACAAAGTTGAAGGTTTGCTGCATGTAATATTAAAACATGAAATTAAGTTTGTCACAGCGAAATGAGTTCGACTTGGTTCTATGCATTCCAGGTTTATGCATATTTGGGAGTAACGGAAAGTTTTTCTTTCCCCCCTTTTTTTGTTGGTTTGTTGGTCGTCAATTGGCGATTTTTGTCGAAAGTTTAGTCGCCGAATATATTTTTAACTTGCCATGGCGACCAAAACAGTCCCAACTTGGAGTGCTGTAGCATGCTTACAGAACTACAAATACACAATTTGCATTTCTTAAATCAGCGCCCCTGTTTCAACGCTTGATGGAATGAGGTGCTTACTTAGAATAAGGCGCCTATAAACAAAAGTAAATTGGAGGTGTGCGGTTATTAAATTTGGGGCGCTTATAAGAATGAGGACGCTCAATCGAATCATTGCGATATACCAAACATGTATTTTGGGATTCTGTTTCGCGTTAGTTTAGCTTTTCACCCGAGAGTAGTTTTACATTATTAATTTTTTTCTTTTTTTATCAAAAAGAGCCCAGTCGTGGACCAGAAGAGATATCTTCCTCTGCAGTGAGCTCCGCAAAATTCAATATAACTTGGCTTGGACTGTCTAGAGAAGTAGCCAATGGCATGATCATAAACTACGAAGTTAGGCTCAGTGTAGTAGAAAACTGCACAGAGATCAAGTCTTCTTACGATTCAACCTTTAATACGACCAGCACTTATGTTATCGTGACTGGACTCTCTTTGTGTGCCAAGTATGAGGTGTCTGTCAGAGGCTACACTACCGTGGGGCCTGGACCCTACAGCAACCCTGTAATGGTACAGACATTGGGTAAGGAAGTCTGTGGGCAGCTGTAATGAGGCAATTTTTAAACGGGAAACTTAGCTTTTACTGTTATTCACCACGATGAATAACCACAGCCTTTTTCACGAAAAACGTACATGTAACCTCATCAGTTTCCTCCAGAGTAAGAACAACTGATGCTGCTGCTGTTGCTGCCACCACCCTTACGATTGTGACAAGAAGGCTGCCAATTGCGGAAGTGAGAGTAATCTACATATATACATTTATACGCACACAAAGAACAAAATGTTTTTCAAAGGCTAACTTAACAGGGCTTCTTTCCCTTTTCCTCAGCTGTGGTTTGGTCTAAAGAAACGCCATCTTCGCCTTCTTTTTCTGCAAATTCAGATGAAGGAGGAATTTCAGTTAAAGTCACGCTTCCACGTTTCCCTGGAAATGTAAGGTATGATTAACTAATCAATTTAACGCTAGTTTTGGCTGTATTCCTGGATCACAATGTTCGTAATGTAGTACAGTGTTCATTTTCTTTTTTAATGTAATCATCACGAGACCTACTGTGCATTGCCATGTGTAGGTGTGGCAGAAAATATAAGTAACAATCGACAGCATAGGACACTGCTGACATCACAAATATCCTGTCACGTATCTTGCAGGTTTTTCCAAGTTATTATCATTACATATAGCTCAAACTATACTGGTGCTGTTAACCCATCAGAAAGATTTACAACACAAGACATGATGACGTACGAAGAAGCGCACAAATCTGCCATTCCTGCTGCTTATGTCGCTTTTCAGTTTGGAGGAAATGATTTTGATAAGTATCGGGAATTTGTTGTTGGAGATGGAGCGGAATCCAGCGGTAAAGAAAGGAGTAAAAGAAGTAGTGGTGATCAGTTTTATTACAACAAACCACTGCAGCCGAATACAAACTACAAAATGTTCCTCAGAGCTTTTGACTCCGAGGTATTTTAACAAAAAGCAGGTAATTTAGTGTTAACAACTGGGTTGAAAACGTAAATTAGCCACCGTAAAGTGGCTAAAATCGCTCTGACGAAGGGCTAACGCTCGAAACGTCAGCTTTTTTATCCTTTACGGTGGCTAATTTACGTTTTCAACCCAGTTGTTAACACTAAATTACCTGCTATACTCTCCCACCAACGCAGCACCACAGTTTCTTTAGAAACTTACCCCTTTATTTTAACAAAACTTTTAATATTAGTGAGGGATGTTCTATTCATTGATTGTAAGAACTGAGCGACAAAACTGACCCATCCAGTTACTCTGAATCTGCACCCAGATGTCTCAGGAACTTTTCCTTCCTGAACTATCATATTGCCATTGCTCACAAGTTCTTTGGTCTTGGTGAATGCAGTGCTAAAACAGCAGCTTTTAGCGGGCTTGCAATGCTCTTGAGGTCTGAGTCACTATGCCATACCCAAATGCAGCAAAAGGTTGCACATGAATAATTAGTTTTTTGCGGTTGTATTTTGCAGACGGTTTATGTCTCTAGTAACTTTATAGACATCGACACCAAAGGTATTGTTGTTTTGTCTTTTTTTATACTTTCCCTTTGTCAGAGGCATCTAACATTCAGCAAGGAAATTTAACTCAATGTAGTCTGATCTTTGAGTTTCTTTTTATTGATATAAGACTTTCATGCTCTGTTGGTTGTCTTTCAGAGTTTGTAAGTTACTTATCAACTGAGGGGATTTTAAATTATTTTCAGTTGGGAAGGGATAGGCTGCAAAGCCTTAATGCTGTATTTGTGCCTTGCTCTTTGTTAAGGAAAACTACTCCATGTTTATAAAAACTCAGTTAAACCTATCATCAAAGGTCTCACAAAGACGACCATTACAGCAATTGGCGAACTGGCAGTGTTGACTTGT